ACTGTGATGTTAGGAATAAATGGTAAATGATGTTGATTTTGCTAAGGAAACAGGTGAATAATGTTGGCTTTCCTAAGGATCATTACTAATTCAGTTTTTCGGCTGAAGAGTCATAGTTTTGTATGATAACCTCTGAGAAAAGAAAATTACTATTCTAAGTATGACTATATCAACTCTATCAGTGAGTCAGCCTGTAAGACCTAGACCAAAGGAGATAGAGAATTGGAAGAGAGCAGGTAGAAGGTTAAAAAAAATGAAGCTCACGAAGTTTTAGCTACATTATTGATTGTTTTTTCAACTGAGCTACATTTCCGATCGACGAACATTTCGAATCAGTGATCTTTTTTAGCAAAGATAATAAACATAGATATTGCAGCTAGTTCTGCGGTAGAATAAGATCTATCCCAGAAGTTCTGGAAGACTGACACTTCTATGTCATATTGTTTATTTGCTTGGAATTTGCTTATTTGTTTCTTATTTCCTTTTTCCACTCAATTCTTAATTCCTATTCACAAATCCAATTAATCATTTGCATGCGCTTTCAGTATCTTTGAGTGCTAATAGTGTGCCTGAATCACCTTCAACGTATGCCCCGCCCTTATCTGCTGCTGCTCATCATCAACCAACAACGCCATATTCCAGTAAACTTGCACGACAGTCTGGAACTCTAATTTATTCATCCGAACAGGGTGGCAAAGGTATCTATATATCAGTATCAGTGTATAGATATATGTGTATGTTTTCGAGAAATTCATTCGAAAGCTCTATGAATTTGTAGAAATATCAGTTTGGATGCGTTTCTGTTTCTAAGATACTTTTGTGTTACTCAGCTTTTTTACCATATTCTGTCGTTTGGCTTTTTAATGAATGTCAAAGAATGTGAAAATTTTTGCAAAATTTCTTCCGATTATATCTTAAATTTCGAAATGCAAAGGTACTTGATGCCAGCTTCATTTGAAATTTATGAAGCCTATTTGTTAGTAATACTGTTCGTATGTGAATGCTCATGTTCTCGTGAAAATTGGTTAACAACAACAAGTACTAATACTTCGTTCTGTTTCGATTTTAAAAGAAATTTCAAGTTATTATTGAATGATTTTCAAGAAGTTTTTTGATGTTATATTAGCGAACCCCTTGTGCAGATTCAAATGGCCTTAAGCACAAGTTGAAGTGTGGGATTAGATTTTTCAAGAAAAGATTTCCAGGAATTTTATTTTTGTTCACAAAAATTGAAACTTGAAATTTTTTTTAATACGAAAAAAGCTTTGTTATGAAGGAAGAAAATGTGCAGACATGGAATGAATACTATGGAAAAAACGAATTAACTTGATCGCCTGTTCTTCAATTCTAAGCTTATTCAATTGTTACAGTGCCTATCCAACAGCGTCAGGTTGGTAGCATAGCTGACTATGACCCCTTAAATGGGAACTGGGGCACGGTAGGATCGAGTCGAGCAGCTGAAAAAATTGGTACGATTATTTCTATTTTCAATAAATAGTTTTTTTCTACTTTATTTGTTTATTTCCTTATTCTTATTTTCTATGCTATTAATAGTTGTTATCAGTCGTGCATTGTTGGTCTCGCGTATTCAGAGTGGTAAGAAATCAAATGTAGTCGGAAGGTATTGCGCTACATCTGCTTCATTCCATCATTTAGTGAAAACAGCTGTATTGCATTTCGCTTGTGTAAAAGTTTAAATTATTTGAGAATGCATTTTCTAAATCTTTAAAAAGAAGAAATTATGGATGTATAAGTACTGTTCAGATTTTGCAGCTGTGTTATTCTCAGTCCAGAATTTGGTTAATTCGCTTAAACCAGCTGAATAAAGCAAATTTTTTGATAGGTATCTCAGAAAAGGTATAAAAGTGATAAAACAGGAATATACGATTTAAACTTTGTACAAAACAAGTGAATAGCTTTGAAAAGGTCCTAACTTAATTTGATATTCTGCATAATGGGTTTTTCGAATCGCAAGTGTCTTCGGTTTGATTTCAATCGATGCTTATTATGTACTTTAGCTTTTTTGTTCGTTTCATAAATAGTTTGATTTCAGGTCAACTCACGGCTTCACATATTGGAGCAGGATTGAATACAAGAGGAAACCAACCAGTTATAAAAGGAACAGGCTTTACAGTGAAAGCTCTCTATGATTACACTGCTGCAGATAAGGATGAGGTTGGTAGTATTAGTATCTGTAATAGTTAGTTTGCCAAAATAATATGCGAAAATATTAACTGGAGTAAGCAAGTTGTGATTTGATGTGGTACATTCTATCTGGAAAGATTCTAGAATATATAATCATAGAATAACTTCGTTTCTTTTGTTTTGCATTAAAATTTATAGTTTAGGTTAGAATAGGTTTATTTGTCAGTTGGCATTCGGAAATGACTTCTTTGATTTCAGGTGACATTCGTTGAGGACGATATTATTGTAAATTGTCAAAAAGTTGATGAAGGCTGGCTAACGGGCACTGTGCAGAGAACGTTGCAATGGGGAATGTTACCCTCGAATTATGTGGAGAGAATTAAACAGCCAACAGGGCTTCACTATCTCAGCTGAGCATTTTCAGTACTAGGTTTATTTTGCATGGCTTGCATCTTTTTATTTTTCTTGCTTTAACATAGCTATGCTATCATTAGAGTCATATGTTTTTGATGTTAGCTTTCAATGAGAGTGAGAAAGAGACGAGATTTTTTGACTGAATTGCTTGTCTTTTATGGTGGTAAACAATTCCCACCTTTCTCATACTTGTTTTAAAGCAAGTTAGAAAGTGATGTATAACTTATGAATATAGCTAGCATTGTCATCCTCTTTCAGAAAGTCAAGATCATATGCGTTCTTATTTGGAAAATTGCAGTTTATCTAAGAATTAATGTTGTAAATTTTATTTACTCTGATTTACTGGCTTCTTTCCAGTATTGCTTTTATTCTCTTTTTTGTCTTGCTGTGCGACTGTTTCCTTCTTCCAGATTTTAATAACATTTTATTCATTCTATTATCCTTAGTGCTTTTTGTTAGGGTAGCCGATATTCATTTTGTAAGCAGCATATCGGAGTTGTGCATGAATTTTTCAAGTTTTGAATTATATGATTTCCACAAACTTAATTGTGGCAAAAAATTGTTTATTCTATTAACTATTCAGTTTTTCAGGAAAAAAGTGAATTTGGAAGTAAAACTCGAACGGAAATCCTTGTATGAGGATCGAGCAAATTATACCGCAGATAGTTTTAATATATTTTTTTAAACTAAGTTTTGTGTTGAAAATGAGCTACTTCCATTTCTTTATTCATATTAGCGCAACGCTTTAAATTGCTTCAGTGATTTATATATGTGATAATTATTTATAATAATAATTATTTGGAGCGGTTCGGGATATCAATGCCATAAGAGGAGAGAACTTCTATTAATATTTAATTTTCCTAGATTTTTTTCCTGTATTTTGTTTTTGTTTCTATTTTTCTTTCTTTTCATTCGGTATATTATCTACGGTCATTCATTTTTATAAATTAATTTTCCTACTTCGTTGCAATGATTGATTATGTATTCAATTCGGAAAAACTTTAAAACGATTGGAATCAAAACGTAGGCTTAAATAGGAGACAAAGGGTAGATTCCTGCAGAAGTGCATGCATAGTGGGCAGTATCTGATTATGAAATTTTTTTTTTTTTTGAAAAAAGTGAGATTCTGTTCATATTCCTTTTTTCTCAGAAATAATTTTTGAGGATGAAAAACGGCTCATATGCAATAATTTTTTTTTTTTTTCAAATGTGGAATAATATAAAGAAAAAGTAGTGCTTAATGTAACTCATCGTAGCAAATTGTATAGAGCGAAAGATTAATAATAAAGTTAATAATTAGATTTTATATGAATTCATGTCTTTGGCAAGGCAAAATTATTAATTACAAACTTTTGAGGAGATCTTAAAATTCCGTATATCTAGATATTGCTCTGAATTAATTAGTATATTCATTAAGTCAAGGTTTTGTTAAGGGTTTTGTCTGTTGCACAATTTACGTACTGCTTTGAAAACGATTTTTTTCTCGTTCCAACTTTAATATGATCCGCGTTTTGTGCCTTTTTCGTGCTTGGAAGTAGAAATTCTTTTGTGTTCCTTACTGTTTGCTTTTTTTTGTGGAATTATTTTTCCAATCCGACTGAATTAACGCTATTCACAAATCTGACGTTTTATTTTATTGATTGATACATCATAATTTCCTTTTCATGGGTTTTTTTGTTGGTTGTCCATTGTCCATTGGCTATCTTGCTCTAAACCCGACTGATTATATTGTTGGTGTATCAACGAAAAATGCTAGTAATGCAGAACTGACTAATTCGGAAAGAGGGAATCTAGTTGATTCTGTCCTGGAAAAATAAGCTGAATATATTAGATATTTTTTGCGGAAAAACGATTTACTGTGATGAAAAGGTAAATCGGAATTTTACCATCTTGTGATTTTTCCGCATTTTTATTGTTATAACTGATCTTGTCAGTTTAATTCTTTTCTCATTGTTAACGTTCATGTGCGCTGCTATCAGTGATATTAAGTATCACGTTTATGTTATCCTCTTTATTTTATTTTATTTCATTTTTTTTTTTTTTTTGCGTCATATATACATCTCAAGATAAAAAATACTTATGCTTTGTCGTTATCATGTTCTTACCGATATGATGCAACGTAAATATTTTCGGATCTACTTAAGCCTAAGTTTTTTTTAAACTTGTATGTTTTTTTGACCGAGAGTGAAGCAATGATTAATAACTGGAGTGTTTTTCATCAAAAAATAAACAATGATTAAAAAGTTTTGCAGTTGATCGGTATGACCATAACGACATTTTACATTTCAATTATGAATTACATGCATACGTCTACAGTTTAGAAATTAATGTATCTCAGCTAGCGGTTATATCATTTTCGAGATAGAAAAAGTGATAAATTTTATAAAGAATTTATTAATATTTTTTGTAAGAAAAGATGACAAAATGAGGAGATTTGCATTCTAATTGTTACCAATAACTTGACAACAAACAAAGTTTAAACCTTCAGTACTTTGTGAACCATGGATAGTTGGTCGTATGCATTCACAGTTTACATTACGTCGCAATTTCTCCTAAAAAATGTGCACCACATTTACATAAACTTTTAACATTTGTTCTTAGTAGTTAAGCTTTAATAAAACCATTTAAAAAGTGAGGATTTCCAAAAAAATTACAGCAAGAAAAGTTTTATGGTTTAAAATTTTGTCATTTCAAAATAAAAAAAAAAAAAGTGTTGTTCACATTTCAAATGTATGAAGCAAAAAAGAAAAAAAATGACAATATTCTACCGAATCACAGCAACAAGATTTCAAGAATTGTCGAAAACTGAAAATTGGACATGGACAACATTTTGCGATCATCGAGCAATCCAAGTATGAAGAATGCGTTTCTTCAAATGTGCATACTTTATGTGATTGAATGAATCGATGTGGCTGAAATAAAAATTATTGTTTACAAACAAATGTGCGAAAAAAAAAATCAGCAATTTAAATTCATTGCTTATCTTAAAAGTTTTACATTGTCTAACATTCTATCATAATATTTCTAAAAAGAAAAAAAAAATATTTTGAAAATTACATGGAACAACGAACTAACCTGAAATCGAATACAAATGAAAAAGATTATAAAAACAAGGATGAAATAAGCAACAGATATACATAAAACAATAGTAACGAGTGCAATTTCTTTATCAACAACACCCATCAATAATAAATGTAAATTTAATGAAATGAATTCGAGTATTTCCATGGTAACGGAAATTTTATTCGCCGAAATTATTTCCTTTGTTTAATCAGAAAAAAAAAGGAAAAAGTTAGGAAATACAATTTTAGTAGCGCATTTTAAGAAATAAGAATGGAAAGAAAAAAATACAAACAAAAGTGATATCTAATTTAAAATTTTTTTTATTTTCATTCATTAGTTTTCATTAATTAATTTCAATTACTACAAGAAATTTTCTTTACTCATTTAATTCACTTTTTTATTTCTTAATTAATTCTATGCCTAAATGACATTATTAATTATTCATTTAATTGAATTAACATTTAATTTCAATAAAAAAACACTTTCTAAGATTTATTTACACTTTATCATTTGAGATATCTCAGCCTGAACCGTAAAGTATTAATCGGCGCAAAAAAAGAAAGTTCTAATGAAAATTATCTTTAATTTCCTAATTATTACTGATTCTACTTTTTTTAATGTTAATTTAAGCATGAAGCGTATTAATATTTAATGTTATTTAGCATTAGTATACATCTCGAAATTGCGTACTAATTTATAATAAATATAGTTTATTAAATATATTCATTTTCTTTCATTATTATTTTTTTTTTCTTTCAAAAGTATTTGCAAAAGTTATGCCTTTGTAAAACACTGCAATGAAATTTCTTTTATAATTATATTTGAGATTGCAAATAAATGACTTCATTATCGGAACAATTTTCAACATCAATAATATTTAACGATCAACAGCGTGATCTCATTCATCATGTTGCATTCGATTTTCATGGACGACGAATTGCTACATCATCTAGTGATATGATGGTTTGTGTATGGAATTTATCACCAAATGGTAGTTGGATTAAATCTGCTTCATGGAAGGTAATTATGTTTGGTTTAATTTTAATTTCGCTCAATTGAATGGTCATTACATTTGATAATTTTGATTAATAATTAATAAGAGTAACAGAAGGGTATTGAATATTGCACTTCACTCAATTTCGACAATTTTTAGTGCTATGTAATATTGGTGAAATAAACTGGCTCTATACCTAAATTAATTGCTGCACTTTTTACTTAATTGATTATAGCTATTATAAATCAAAATTATTTTTGATATTATAGAGTCACGGTGGACCTGTTTGGAAAGTAATTTGGGCACATCCTGAATTTGGACAAATTTTGGCTACATGTTCATTTGATCGAAGTGTAACAATATGGGAGGAAACAGGTTCGCTATATTTTACTACTTCAATAATTCAAAAATACATATATATGTTTTGAATTCAGGTTTAATTATTTCTTTAAAATTTGAGAATAAAACAGTGTGTTGTAGTACGTCAACCGGTTAAGACAATAACGAAAAATGGCGTTCACAGTGGCCAAAAACAACAACAAGCACGTTGGAAACGTTGTTGTCAACTTGTTGATAGTCGTCATAACGTTACTGATATTAAGTTTGCTCCAAGGCATCTTGGATTAATGCTTGTAAGTGATAGTCTGAATATTTAATACCTTTATCTTATTCATAAATGCTTTTTCAACCTTTGAAAATTCAATAATCAAATTTGTGGTGAGGACTAGATTTTTCGTAGATTTCACTAAAGTACGGAAATAAAAGCTGGATGTGACATACGTTAATATATAGTTGTTAAGCTTTATTAAACATGAATATATAGTTATTTTTCATCATAATGTACAGTGATTTATAGAATTTATTTGTAGGCAACTGTATCTTCTCAGGGAATATTACGAGTATACGAAGCTCCAGATATTATGAACTTATCGATGTGGAGTCTGAACCAGGATATAGTGGTTTTTCGATATCGGTGCAGTTGTCTGTCATGGAGTACACATCGTCTTACAAAACCACTTATTGCTATTGGATCGGATGATGCACATACAACTGGAAAACGAGTGGTCGTTTATGAATATTACGACAATCTTCGGTCTTTTCTATTAATAATTAGAACCATTATATTACTCTTACTACATCTTGACATTAACTGTTTTAATTTTTTGGTTCGGAATTGATTAAACTCTTTTCCTAAACAAAGTACTAATTGTTAAGACGGTACTGACAGAATGCATTTTTAGAAAGTGGCAACTATTGAATACTCCATCCTTAAAAGTAACTGAGCCAGTAACTGATATTGCTTTTGCACCACCTGCTGGACGATCATATCATTTGCTTGCTGTTGGTTCTAAAGATATTTGCATCTTCAAATTGAGTGAAACCGGGAAAACCACTGGTTTTAATGTTGATTTGGTTGAACGAGGTGGACCAACTGAGTATGAGATAACACAGTTGGAAGCACTTGAAAATCCTTCTCATTCACCTGTTCAGGTTCTTTATACTTTTAATTTCTTATTTTTCACAAGTTCCTCACAGTTATTTGAATGTGTTGTGGAAAAATTAATTTCTTTTAATCAGTTAATTATTACTTGACGAAGTTGACCTCATGATCTTTCTCTACTTATATCATTAATCTGGGATCGTTTACTGAGTACAACATTTCAATTTTTAATTTTAATTGTTTTATTTTTCTTTAAAAAAATTAAAATTACCGCAAGTAAAATATGGTCACAAATCTTGATCAGCTTACCATATTAGCCACCAAAAATTCTTTATGATCACAGTGTAGATACTATTCTGATAATTAAAATCAGAAACTTTGATAGATTTGGCGGTTGTCATGGAACATAACTGGAACAATCTTAACAACTGGAAGCTCAGACGGATATATACGGTTATGGAAAGGTGAGTAAATGATTTTTTCATTTATATTTTCTATCGCAATTTCTTTACATGCCATAATTAAGCTAAGGTAATTTAAGAAAAAAAGTCGATTTTACTTATTTAGTAAGTTGAAACTGTTCTTTTTTTTTAGAAAATTTATTGAAAAAATGGACTCTTGTCGCAACGGTAAAGTCAACAGAAGACTGTAAACCATCTGATGATGATCCGAGAGCTACAACATCAATAAGTTCACTTACCAGAGAAAATCATGTATATTATTGATTTTGTTGCTACTGATTATATTAATTACATTGAATATGTTTGCCTTTATGACCTTTCAATTTGTTTAAAATAAATTACAAATTATTTTGTGATGAATTATTCGTTTCATTTTTTTTTTAAATGGAACCATGTGCACTTCTGAATCTAAAGTTCATGAAAATGAAAGGAAAAAGGAAGTGAAGGAGAGAGAGCGCGGGGGTAATGTTACCAGAAAAAAAACCAATTATTTTTTTTTTTTTGTAACATTTCAAGAATCAAACATTTTTTTCTTTGCTTTTTAAAACTTGTTTTTTAACTTAGTGAATGTATGAGACTGTCAGTTAAAAATATATAAAAACACTTTTCATACATTTATGGTCATTTTTTAATTTTTATTATCCATGAGGATATCTTATGGTTCCTATTAAGAGAAATCATAAATTTTTTCTTTTTTTTTTTGTAAAGCATATTCGATAAAATGTTTTTACATAACATAGTATATTATGATTGACAATACTTGTCACGTTTGATTATAAACAATGGCTTTTTCATTTGAAATAGTTACACAGAATGATTGACATGTGTTTGTCTAATTTATTTTTGAAATAAAATTGTATTGTATTATAACATGTAATGAATTCACACAGATGGCAAATTTTTTTTTTTTGCATTCCTGGTGAATTTGAATAATTTCTTTTAATTTTTTTTGCCCGCCTATCATGTTGTATCCGTTTGCAATTGGTTGAAATGATTTATATGCATGATTATATGAATCATTTCTTGCCGATAGTATTATTACACACCCATTTTTAAATTTCTCTCTTATGTCTTTTAATTTCCCTTTTTCAGCATTTCATTCGTTTACACATACAAGCTATCATTCTCACTAATTAGTTTCGTAACAGAATATTTCTCACATATTCTTTTCGACGTCTTTTTTTTTTATTTTGCATAATATTTGAAGATGTTTGATTAAAGGAACAAGAAATGATAAAATGAGTATGCAACTTTGATCTGATAAGATTAGATATTTTCGAATTTCTGTTTTAAGATTGCATTCAAAATATGTAAAAGCAAAATTTGAAGTAGCTCTCAGGCTTGATAATTTAGATTTTGAGAAGTCTATTAGTGATATGTATGTAATAATTTTAAGTGTTGAATGAATAAAAACACTTAGATAATAAATAATTATATTCCATATATCTACATGGATATTTTTTGACCGATTTTTTGCTAATGATTGGCTACTACTACTGCTATTAGAATATTTTGATTAATTTGAGAAATTTTTAAATATTATTTTCCAGAACAGGAATTGTTCAATTTAGGTACTAGTGATAATTTATCAATAAGAATGGAAGATTATGAAACGCTTACTACAAATTGGTTGAAATGGGATAATGTATGCTTTTAATTTATGTTTTGTTTTTTTTTTTTTGTCTGAGGTATCTTATTTTTATATTTGTTTGCTATGAGATATAGCTACTCTTTGTCCCTTTTACTGATATTCTAGATAAGATTGAAATGAATTCCTTCTTGATATGAGTTAAAATTTGTTGCTGAAGTTTATAGTGGTTTCATTTTCATTATTTTTAATTACAAATGTGAGGACTAAAAAATGATTTGCTATTTATTCATTTGTACTATCACAACAAAGATTCAGATTTGAGGAATTTTTTGAAGGGACAAGAATATAATTTAGATGAATAGTTGGAAGAATATGACATGTTAAGGTAAAAGTGTCGGTAATAAAGCTTAAGGTTATTCCAACAAATTTAGTTTTACAGAATGAACAAAGTCGTGCAGAAATTGACGAATTATGGAAGAAGAAAGATGCTGAAGAGTTGAAATCAAGAATGTGTGGCAGGTTGTCCTTTGGTACAGCTGGTACGTTTTTCTTTCTTAATGTGTACTCCAAAGTACCGGAAAATTTTCTCTCATTACCGAAAGTTATGATTACCGAAAGTTAGCATCAATGCTA